CCTCGGCCCGGCTCGGCTGTTGGGAGCTGGGCTGGGCTTGGCTGTGCTGAGCTGGGCTGCGCTGGGTCGGTGTCGGCGGCGCCTTAGCCGAGACCACCACCCAGCGGTGCGCGCTGGGACTGCGCCCGCCGCCGCCCGCTGCCCGCGCTGCCGCTCGCCCCGGCCCACGGACACGCGCGCACACGCGCGAGGCCCTCCGCTTGTCCGCGGATGCGCCCAGGGCAGGACGCGAGCACATCAAAATGGGGATGGAAGTGCCGGTAAAGATCGGGATGAGCCCTGTGGGGTCGCCGCTTGAGTACTATAAGGCAGGGATGGCTGGAACGTCCCTGGGTGTCTCTGCACGCTTCTACCCACAGCCCAAGAGCGCTGTCAGCGCTCGGCTCCCGGCAGGCGAGTTCCTGCCTTTCCAGAAATGTAGCAGCAAACGCTGCACAAGGCTTTTCCCAGCTCAGCGTGAGGCAGAGACTGATCCCAGAGGGACACTGCTTCCTTCCCTGAACAAAGAAACCGGCCCGGAGCACTGGCAGTGCAGCAGCAACAGCAGGGACATGGCACTGAATGCTCTCTCGGCTGCATCTCCAAACTCAAGACATGTACCAGCTAAACATTACCTCACTCAAAGGTCACACTGACAAAAAGACTCCCAGACTTTGAAAAAACCTTGACAGACTTTTCCAGAACCAATGATTCTTCCAAGATTTCTGTCTCCATTCAAGGAATTAGGTGCTCTCTTTATTTCACTCATACACATTACTGCAGTTTTTACACTCAGGGGTATCCTCTTTTACAGTGTTACAGTTTGTAACTTCAGCACAACATAGCGTAAGGCTTTCGGAAATTTCTGTGCATCACAGACGCCATTCAAACAGTCAGTTATGATAGATGGGGTGTCAGTTCTTCTTTAAGGGAATAGGCAAGTAAATGCTCAAACACAGTTCCGGGAGTTAAAGTAGAAATGACAACAAGGAGAATGCAAATGTTCTCACAAAAACCCAGAAAGTCATGCAGGGACAGCTTTCCACTCTCATCAAGAAGCTTCCCGATTAAGGATCAACACTGAGGACATCAAAGTCCATGTCCTTTTCACAAGTTCATTCTGACTGAGCCTTCAGAAAAATGCTCTTTGAAGGACACGTGGAGTTTTCATGCAATGCAACTCAAAGACAACAAATATGTTTTAACACCTCTCTACAGTCACTGTCTATGCCAACACTGATTGTGCTGCTGCACTTCATGGAGGCAGAACACACAACCCCTCCTACGGGCCAAAGGAAGATCTTATTGTGCATTTTGCTACTCTACTCTGCAATAGAGAAAATGAGACGGATGTATTAAAAGGGTCAAAATATCCTCCTTGCCTGCTGGTTGGAACAGCCTGCAAAGGAAAGGCTGAATGGGAGCAAGTCCCTAATTCAGCAGGCAGCACTAATGATGCATAGACAGACATAGTGACAAGAAAGCAAAGCACACAGGGTACTCACATCTCAGCTGGACACATCCAGAACCCAGGAAAGAAAGTGAGGTGTTTACACAACACTATGATAATACTCACAACATCCTAATTGTTCTGAGCTGGGAAAAGGCTTTTATACATTTCAGCAAGAAGGAGATTTGTCTGCCCAACTGTGCCATTCCTTCACAGAAGAGAATAAAAGGTCTACTGTCTTGTGTGACAGCAAGAGAGACATGATCTTCACTAGGACTGCTAACTCCATTCTTAAAGCCCCTCAAAAGTGGCTGAATCAGGTCTGAAATCTACTACAACCTCAGTGAAAGAGCTTTGGTTCCCTTTATTCTGTTTCCTTGTTTGTTTTTAGTGGAACACAAGCATTCCTTGACCTATAATTTGTGGGAATGGGTTATGCCAACTGCATATACAGGTTTATCCTGGAGGAACCATTGCCACCGGTTGCAGATTGCATCCCTTCTGACCACGAGGAAAGAAGTCACTGGCTCTGCTGACCCCTTGAAATCAAAGCCCACAGAGCCCATATATGTCAGACAGACACATTCTAAACACAGGAAAGAAAGAGCTTGGTGCTTACATGGCATTGTGGCACAACAGCCATAATTTCCTTCCTTTCCTACGCTGGGAAAAGGTCACTGTGAGTTTCAAAAAGGAAATTTCTGTCTCATTTTCTGTGCCATACACTTACAGATCAGGTCCCCTTGAAGGGTCCACTGTCATGTCTGACAGCAAGAGAGGGAAGAGCTCAGGAGGGAGAGCTAACTGCATTCTTAAAGCCTCTTACGAATGGCTGTAACAGACCTGAAACATATAAATGTCTGACTAAGAGAGTGCCCTTTATTCTGTTTGTTTCTTGGTATTTCGTGGAACAGGGGCATTCCCTGACTTACAATTTCTGGAAATCAGTTATGCCAATTGTAAAATCAGATTAATTTAGGAGGAACCATTCCCACAGGCTGCAGCCTGCATCCCGTCCGACCACGAGGCACAAAGCCTCTGGCTCTGCTGACTCTGTGCTAGTTAAACGAAAGACGATTGAACTGTTCTGCAGACACAGGCCCAGCATTGTCTGGGGTCACGTCCTCTGTGGGGACAGGGACACCAGGGAAAACCTGTTCCTCACCGGTGCTCCCGCCCACGGCACAGGGCTGTGGTGGCAGGCTGGGGACGAAGGGCTTGAGGAACCTGAACTCGCTGTTGTCCGAGCCCGTGGTGAGGCTGATCTCGTAGCAGTAGGGGCGGGGCAGGGTCCCTGCAGCAGCTGCATCGGCCAGGCCGCTCGGCAGGTTGTCGGCCCCGGAAAGCACGTGGC